GGGGCCAGCCATCCAGTCACCTAGCCACCCAGACACCCAGCCACCCAGCCACTCAGCTACCCAGACACCCAGCCACTCAGCCACCCAGCCACCCAGCCAGTCACAAAGAAAAAGTGAAAGTAAGATATACAGAAGTAAGAAAAGGAAAAAAAGCCCAGACACAAAACATAGTCAGGATAATTTAAGAAAAGCTGGCAAGAAACAAGCCAAATTAAGGTCAGGCATTCACCACTAAAACCTTCATGTGTGATTTATTTAGGAGCTGGGTGGCAGGCCCCCCAAAAAGCCAAAAGAGTAAAACATCACACAACAATCCTGTGACTAGATCAGGCAATTTCCTCTCTCCTTACCATGAACACTTAAGTCGTATCTTTTGTCAGTCATTCCTGCCACATTCACAGCAACACACACGTAACGGCCTGTGTCAGATACATGAACATTCTTCAGCTGAAGGATGCGACCTTCATCCAATATTTCCACTCCCTTTCCTGTGGTCAAAGGGCGGCCATCTTTCATCCAGGTCACTGTCGGCTGAGGAATACCCTGCACCTCGCATTCCAAGGAAATGCTCTTCCCACGGATGACAATCATTTCGGGGCGGTGGCTGCCACTGTTGGCTATAGATGGCCGAACTTTGGGGGGAAAAGACATAATGAGAAGCAATACAGGAAACCTTTGCTTCCCTTCTGATAGGAGTTTTCACCTTCAACTTCTGAGCCTCTTGCTTCTACTTCTACAGAGCAAGGATAACAAGGAATGCACCACCACACTCAGGTGATGTGGCTGGGAGAAGAAAGGCAGGGCCTTGTGCACATTAGGTAAACACTATCAAATGAGTTACAGCCTCAGTCCCACGATACACTATTATGTCAATATATTATACAAAACAGGGTCAAAATAGCAGACTACATACCATGACATATTGTCAGCATATTGAGAGGTAGAATTGGTCTCCTTCTAAGTGGGTTAATATTTAAAAGAAAGCTATTGACTCAGGAGAAAAAGAATCCTGTATTCACTCATGTTTGAGAAATAATACAGTAATTGAACTTATCAATTATAATTCTGATGTACAAAAGTGTTCAAGTACTATAATGGATGTGGTAGCTTAGAGCTTCTTAACTTATTTCATTAGAGATTCCTCTTCACCTGATAAAGCTTTATATAACACTGAATATACAGGTAAAACATCCACAAATCAAATGCTTACTGATAACAAATCATAAAGAAACTTATTTTAAAATAATCTTTAGTATGCATGTAATTTTACCAATTACTAAAGACAAAGACAAATCTGTATACTCATGAGATGGACATGCATGTTTATTTCTACAGAATTCACACCTTTAATGTTTAAAGAGAGGCTCTATGGGGGCTGGGCTATCTTGATATAAAGCAAAACAGTAACACCCTTTTTCTTGTCTTTTGTCAGTGTGGATTTGCTCTCACAAATGTAGCAATCGTCTTAACACTATAGAAGGGCCAGTAAACCACAGTGCCTCCATATTGCTGGAATGATGAGGTGCCCATCTCCAGAAACCATCTAGCCTCAGATGTCTCCTTATGTGAGGAGGTAAACTGCCAGCCATGCCACTAGCAGCCAGTCACTCTGTTTCCCTGCAGCTGAATTTACCTAAAAGAAACTGATTCTAAGAATTAGAAACAAGGCCATCATGGGCCAGTGTTAGTAAACTAGGGCTCTAGGGACAGGTCTACAGGACAAAAGCCACGTTACCTTGTTCAATCATGGAAAAGTCTTTGAGTTTGAGTTCCATGTGTGACTGATAGAGGCAACCCTTCCCCTCATGTAGAGATTCACATAAAGATTAACGTAGAACATACTTTCAAGTACTCCAAAATGTTGCAAGGTTATACTCTAAATATTCTTTTAAAATAAAGCATTTATGCTTTTTAAATACACTCTAGGGCTGGGACTGTAACTTAGTTGGTGGGTGGTCCTTGCCTAGCATGTATGAGGCAAGTATGCGAGCACATGGCTGTAATCCCAGCATCAGGAGATGCATGAAGGAGGATAAGAAGCTAATGGCCATTCAACTATGCACCAAGTTTGAGTCTAGCCTGGGCTACATGAGAACTCATCAAAACAAACAAACAACAAAAACACCATCAGCATCAAAATCTATAAAGCATAATCCCCTCTCTTCCCTTTCTACACATTTACCCCACCCAGCATATTGTGACCACCTTGATGTGTCTGTTACCAGTGGGAAGACAGGATGAACAGTTGTATTTCTGAATAAATAATCACCTGAAAGAAGTAATTGCTCTCTGGTTAAGTCTGCACAATTTATACCACAGTATAGCTGTACTATGAATGAACCTTACGGCTCCAAAGAGAAGCAGAAAGGAAATAGAGGAATCTCCGGAATAAGATGGTGCCCAGAGCTTGAGGAGGTCAATAACTAACCGTAAACTTGCAGATTATAATCTTTATTCGCAATTCCGGCCACATTCGATGCCACACATGTGTAGAGTCCTGCATCTGCTTTCTCGGCAACTGAAATTTGTAGCCGCCTGCCTCCAGACAAAATGCGAACTCGTCCAGCAGAGTCAGCCAACACCAGAGAGCCTGCAAGGAAACCCAAATAGCAGCATTTGAGGCAAAAATAAGTAGATTTTGTGTACATGCCCAGACAAGAACTAGTTTGAGTATTGAAAAGGTAGACAGCTTTGTGAAATCATCGTTTTCTTGTGGGAAAAATAAAGAATGGGATGAAATACAGTTTTCAATGGTTTGTTTTATGTTTTGTGGGTGTGGATAAATATTTGCTGATGAAAATCTACTCAACTACAGGCTTTAATCTGAATATATGTCGCAAAACTTCCATAAATGCACAAAGTGTTTATTTTAGAAAGCCCCTTTTCAGACATTTGTAGAGAAAAATAATTCTTTGAATGGTAGACTCTTGGTGATAATAAATGTTTCATAATACATTTGATACAAAGCAAGACATAATGCAGAAAATTGATTTTTCTGGTGAGCAATTAGTCTGAAAATGATCTTCAGTGAGATAACATCGAAGTTTGGAATGCTGAAGGTTACTACAAAGCAATTCTTCTGCATTTAGCATGAAAACCCCTGTAAAGGTTTCTGTTGTTGAATTTTTATATTTTTTAAAAATTGGTATGTTAGCCAAACAAAAGATATTCATTACCTCTTATCCATCTATCTATCTATCCATTTCTCTCTATCTACCTACCTATCATCTATGTGTCTTTCTTTCTTTCTTTCTTTCTTTCTTTCTTTCTTTCTTTCTTTCTTTCTTTCTTTCTTCATCTATCATCTCTCTATCATTTAAACTTTTAGCAATGCAAACTGACCTTTCTTCTTCCAAATAAGGTTTGGGGGTGGAATTCCACTTGATTCACACAGCAGAGTGATGAGATTCCCTTCAATGGCCGTAAGTTGCACAAGTTCATCAGATCCATAAATACTAGGTGGTACTGAAAGGAAAGCAAAAGCATTGATTCTACAGTTTTTGTGTCATGTAGTTTCCTAATACTTTACACATAGTAGAAATAGCTTCTACCCAAATAATGAAAGAGAAAAGTACTTAAGGTTGAATGTCACATGTAAAGAACTCAACCAATTCCTAGTAAAAGACCTTTCCACTGTCATAGAAATTCTACAGTTGAAGATAGAAATTCTGTAGTTGAAGAAGCTGAAATGGCATGATTTGTTATAGGTATCTAGGCATCGGTGTAAGAGTGATACCTACCAAATGGAAAGTTAACCCAGACACTGATGACCAGCCAGCTTTGATATCTCAGATGCTCACTAGTAGAGTACAATAGCCACACAATGTCCAGTGAAAGACAAGGCAAGGGTGTTCACTCAAGAGGCAGACATTCACTTATTCTAGATTGCACACCTTGTCCTTTATTGCTCTAGAGAATTTTACAGGGGTTCTCCAAGTTAGTCTTGATTATCAAGCTCCTCTCAAAGGGGCTGCAGCCTAAAGACACTGACTAAACTCCCTCACCTCCCTTAGGATACTGCTGTATCATCCCGTGGCAGATACTTATTCTTCCAAACTCCAGGAAGTTGAGTAGTCATAGAATCCTTTTCATGCCCCACTGAAGTTTCAGTCCTTATTCAACCACCTCCGTGCAAACAATTCTATTCTTCTGAAGCTCATTAGACCAATTCATTTCTTCCTATCACGTCTGTGAACCTGTCACTCATCTGCTCACTGATTGGCTACTGAACTTGTTTTTGCTCTTTCTCTTCATGCCAAGTCCTTCCATCATTCTGTATGAATGGAATATCTGCATGAATAACTAGTTTAAATACCCTAAGTTCAGTTCTTCTGTCTGATCTTCCCCTTCTCCACAGATGATACAATGGCCTTTATGTCATCTAGAAAATTCCCCCTACATGTTCATAAATTCAGCCACGGTTTGATAATTGCTCCATTCTTTCTTTCTTTCTCCTTGAGTAGTCCAAACTCTCAACTCACAATCCTACTTGAATCTTGAGTGTTTTCACCTCTGAAATGTCTCTATTCAGTTGTTTTCTTGCATTGACCCCTCTGCACCTTAGATTTCATAATCAATAATTTCAATGTCTCATTTGTCAATAATCTCAATTGTCTGGCTCTTTGCCTTTCTTATTTATAAATAATGCCATCAAGTCAATGAGTTACACAAAAGGAAATGATACAACCACAGACTAACACTACTCTAAGATCATAATCTCCACTTTCAACTCCAGCCTCATCTACTCCTGGGGGCTTCCAGGAGTATAAGTAGTTACAAATCGAATGAAGACTCCATCTAGATCTTACAGCAAATTGCTTCTTCACATGTCACATATGATTCTCAAGAAGCACTGCCGAGCTTGGTCTGTCCAGAATTGAATACAACATCCCCTGTTCCTTCTCTTAGGGAGACACCACCACTCACAAGCCCAGCTGACTGAGGAACACAGATATGTGTGGCCTCTGCTCATCTTGATTCAGTTTCTTTTTTTTTTTTTCGGTCAGCTGAGGATTTATTGGCGTAAACGCAACCATATAAAAACATAAGTTATGAAAAACACAGTCATGATGTACCCTCCCATCCCCCAAGCCCAGTCCCTAAGCCCCCTTCGGTAGGAGGCCAGCCTGGCGCCACCTCAGCGCATCCGGTAGTCGGTGGAGCAAGAGAGCTCACATAGCTGGCCCTTGAAGTCCAAGTCGATGGTAAAGTCCAAGTCGCGATTGTTTTTGGCGTTGGGCCTCATGCCAATGGTGCCAAAGATCTCCTCGCCAGTCTTCACTGTTAGGTAATCCTCCATGTAGAACACAGTCTGCTTCCAGTGTGTGTATGGGGACTCGGGACTGGTAGAAAATCCGGTCCTCTTGTGGCATCGGGTGAACTCGATGTTGAAGTAGGCCACCAAGGCATGCACGTAGTCATTCCTCTTCACTTGTAGGCAGAAGGGGGAGGTGAAGGTCAGGTCCTCTACCTTGACTGTATAAATGTCCACCTCCTTTATGAGGCAGGCATTAGTGACCAGCTGCTTCGGGTCCACCACGTCCACCAAGGGCTCCTTGATGGCCACGTCTTTGATGCAGGACATATCGAAACCATATACATTCTCCCACCAGTGGATCTTGTAGTCTTTGTACTGTCGGTCCTCAATGGCTGTCACATAAAGGGTGGCCCGGTCTGGGAAGATGAGGCCATCAGGTGCCAGCCACTTGTCACGGGCATGCAGCACGGTGTTGAGCATGGACTCGTAGAAGAGACAGTAGCCCGTCCACTCGCTGATGATGATGTCCACTTTCTCCACGGGCAGCTCCACCTCCTCCACCTTGCCCTTGATGATGGTCACCACATGGTCTAACTTGTTGGCTTTGACAATCTTCACAGCATAATCAGAGATGCTTGAACATTCGATCCCAATGACTTTGCAGGCTCCTGCCTTGGCAGCAAACATGCAGAGGATGCCGGTGCCCGAGCCCACGTCCAGCACAACCTTGTCTTTGAAGAGGTGCCGATTGTGAAACATGGAGTTGCGATATGTGAGGGTACGCACCTCATCCTTCAGCATCTCCTCATGGATGCCAAAGTGGGCATAGGAGTCAAAGTAGTAGTCTTTGGACGTCATGTCCTCAGCGTTGGGCTTCTCACTGCTTTCTGCTTGACCACAGGAAACCTCCATGATGCAGTTCGCGGCCTCGGCTGCCGCCATCTTCACCCAAGTCCTCCGGCCTCCGAGACCCCCCCCCCTTTCTTCTCGATTCAGTTTCTTAAACACATCTGGAGTATAGCTGATTTCTTTGAAAATATATATTTAGACACCCAGGTTCTTCTTTAAATTTTTTTTAATGTGTTCTGAGACACTTAGAATCAAATGTACTGATAGAAGTTTCATCAATCCATCCCCAGTGCCTTCCTACCACACATTTCTTCTCCACTGTGCCATAGGAGCCAATAGTGAGCAATGCTGACTTCCCTGATGAGACAGTGTACTTTAGTAGTGTTCGCAGTTAATACCTGCTCATGCTTGTGCTCTCAATTACATGGCATACAAATCCATATATCTTTCTATTTAACTAAAATAGACATTTCATTTAAATTTAACCATTTGGAGTTTCCTTCCTTCCTTCCTTCCTTCCTTCCTTCCTTTCTTTCTTTCTTTCTTTTTTTCTTTCTTTCTTCTTTTGCTTTTGGCAGACAAACAGCCTGCCCCAACAGTCAACCACATTCAGAGGGACTAGTTTGAACCCATGATCATTCACTTCCAGTCCAGTTGGAGTTGGCGAGCTCTTATTAGTTCAGACAAACTGTCTCAGTGAGTGAACCCCTCATGATCTTGACCTCCTTGCTCATATTCTCACTCCTTCTACTCTACAACTGAACCTTGGGAGCTCAGTCCAGTGCTTGGATGTGGTTCCATAGAAGCATTATTTGTAATAGCCAGAACCTGGAAACAACCTAGATGCTCCTCAACTGAAGAATGGATTTACACATTAGAGTACTACTCAGTGGTAAAGAACAACGACATCTTGAATTTTGCATGCAAATGGATGGAATTAGAAAACACTATCTTGAGTGAGGTAACAAAGACCCAAAAAAGGATATGGTATGTACTCACTCTTAAGTGGATATAAGCCATAAACAAAAGACATTGAGCCTATAGTTCATGATCCTAGAGAAGCTAAGTAATAAAGTGAACCCAAAGAAAAACATATATAGATCCACCTGGGAATTGGAAATAGACAAGATTACCTGACAAAATTGGGAGCATGGGGGCAGGGGGTAGAAGGAAGGGGAGAAGGAAGGGTTGAAGAGAACTTGAGGGAATGGGATAGTCGAGATGGAGGAAGGACAGATATGAGAGCAAGGAAAGATATTTTGATTGAGGGAGCCAATATGGGGTTAGCAAGAAACCTGGCCCTAAAAAAATTCCCAGGAGTACACAAGGATGACCCCAGCTAAGACCCTAAGCAATAGAGGAGAGGGTGCCTGAACTGGCCTTGTCCTATAGTCAGACTGATTATCTTTTTTTTTTTCTGACTGATTGATTATCTTAAATATCACCATAGAACCTTCATCCAACAACAGATGGAAACATTTGGAGTTTTCTAACTTGGAATTTTCATCTTATTAGCCACTACACTACACAGGAAATAGTAATCAAACATAGTAAAGAATGCGTGTTTTTCAAGTGATCCTATCTTTGGCATCTCAAATTTTCCACTATCATTAATTATTATATTTATTGCACTCTGCTTTTTGTTGTTAAATCTCTTCTTTCAGAGGCATTAGTTTATTATTAGTAAGGGACACCTTAAAGCTTATGTCCAGTGACTTCTATGCAATATATAACATTACCCATTAACTTATCCATCCATCTATGTACATCTTATTCATTGCCTATTTTATTTTTTTCTGGGACATCGCTGTTCTTAGTTTCCATGCCATCATTTTTTCAAACATAATTTTCTCTTGATTCTTTGGGAACTTCACATCTCACAACCCAGTTCCACTCACTTCCCAGTCCTTCTGTAGCCACCCTTCACCATTGCAAAAGAAATAGAAAAATGAAATAAAAATAGAATATACAAATAAAAATATTAGATAAACAAAAGACATTTCGCTGTTCTGTCTTTCCCACTTCTCCATCATCTTCATTCATCCTAGTGGCCTTGGGAGCAGCAGGGTGTCAAAGTAGACCCTTTGTCCTAACAGCTTTACTTTTAAATATTTGTTATGCGATGAATTGTTGGCCAAATTCAAGGCTTCTGGTACATCATCAATACTAGACCCTCACCAAAACTCCTCTTTGATATTCTGCTGTTGCCTGGAGTCATGGAGATCCTGCAGCTATGGTTTCGCAGGACCAGTTCCTTCACTTACTCAAGCGGGTCAAAGATGGAGTAGATGTTGGGATGTGCCCACTAAAAGCCCTGGGTGTGTGAACAGATAGCTGAGCTGATCAGTTTGGGCCACTGGGACCATTCCCCTCAGGCGGGGGTGGAGCCAGATCTCCCATGCCCTCCTACGAGGGTCAGGATCAACTCTACAATGCTAGGGTCATGGTGTGTGTGTGTGGGGGGGCATGCTGCTATCCCAGAGCTGACAAGGGGTGGGGTCAGGTCTATGCCATCACTTTTAATAGGTTTTCCTCTTTGACTGCCTCTTTTCAGTTTCCCTCATTCGGCCCCCTTTTCTATCCCTATATAGATAGCAACGGTAGCCATTCTGTTTCACACTCTACCGGACACATCTCTCTTATTTCTTTAAGGAACTTCAGCTCCTATCTACATATATTTATAACTTTAATCTTGTTTGCATTTCTGACTGCATGAGGACAACTTCACATTTTTGGTCCATAGACAGTTCAAAAGCTTCAGGTCTCCGTCTCACTTATTTTGTTAACGGGTTTCCCTGGGTTCATTACTACACTTGCATCATCTTTTGCTCATGTCTGCCTCATATCCCTCTTCCTTCCTCTTACCCTTGCCCTTATTTACTTTACGCTGTCCTTCTTCTCCTTCCTATTAGTCCATCCTTCTTCTGCTTTCATGTTTTCTGCTTGCTTTCGTTTTGGCTTCCACATTTGAGGAAAAGTGTGTGACATTGGTCTCTCTTCTCATCTCACTTCCCAGGTGGTCATGACTCCTAATTTACCATCTGCAGCCAACCCTTTAACCTTTACTTTATAATTTTTAGCTCAATGGCTTGGAAAAATTGAGAGATATGAGAATATTTTTCTCATTTGAAAGAAACAAAGAAGAAAAAGTAGGTAAAATGGAGAGGGAGCAAGAATAGCAAGAGCTAGAAATGGAAATTGATGATGCAGAATTCATATGTAGTGGGTGTAAGTTTGCTATATGTCAAATTGTAGCATTTAAACACAAACTCATCTTCTTACAGACTGAGGAGTAGCTTTTCTTGTAACTAACTATAATGATTATTAAAATGATAATTAGTTTTAACAAGCTATTTCTATATACATATATGCTTTTAAAATTAACTTGTCCATCAAAATTAAGAGAAAACTTTCTCTACTTATCTTTTTATTTGAAACTCGGGAGGCAGAGGCAGGCAGATCTTTGTGAGTTCAAGGCCAGCCTGGTCTACAAGAGCTAGTTCCTGGACAGGCTCCAAAGTTACAGAGAAACCCTGTCTTGACAAAACAAACAAACAAACAAAAAAGAAAATACCATTTTCAAGTGAGTCTGATGTAAATTTCATTACTTCAGTAATTGAAAAGTTTAAACAAATTATTAAAGTTGAGATTTTATGTCACAAATAGATCCAAAGTGTTATTTAAAACAATGATAAAATGTTGGAGGTGGGAGAATTTTAAAAACAATTAATAGACAGCCACAACCAAGGTATTCTGTATTATCTTACTAGCAAATGGTAAATGTTTCAAGTGGTAATAGCTTCTGAATTAGCACGGCAATCTCTGCTTCCTTACAGGGCGTGAACACAATTTGCAAGTATACCATGGCCTTTTAAATGTACTTTCGCTGGACAAAGCACCACTAGTTCTGGAGGAAGTCCAATCAGTACTAGCCTGGCTGTGGAGCCACAGGGATGCTGGGCAGGAGAGGGAGTCATGCCACACTGAAGTCGCAATGATGACATGTTTAGGCGCAGGGCATCTGTCCATTTGCTATGCATTTGCATCAGTGCCTTGAGCTGCTACTCGGGAAACTGCTTGTGTCCATCTGCGCAGCATGATGTGTTGTAATAAGAGCGGCGGGGCTGCATCCCCAGCACCTGGCCGCCCGCACGGCTAGCTTTATCCGAAATAATTGCACGGAAACTGTATTCTTTTAAACACTGCCTAGCCCATTAGTTTCAGCCTCTTAACCCATTTCTAATAATCTATGTAGCACCACGAGGTGCGCTTACCAGGAAAGATCTTAACCTGCGTCTGTCTGGAGTGGGAGAATCATGGTGACTCCTGACTCGGCTTCTTTCTCCCAGCATTCTGTTCTGTTTACTCCACCTACCTAATTTTCTGTTCTATTAAAGGGCTGAGGCAGTCTCTTTATTTAACCAATGATATTAACACAAAACACAAGACTCCCCCCCCATCAACGATGGACGGATGCCCCTTTAAAAACTGACACAGTCAGTAAAAGCAATCCGTAGGCTGGCTGCTTTGTTTGACAAATGCTCCTTATACTTACCCCAGATGTTAACATTGTAGTTTTTCTCAGTTTTCCCAGCCACATTGGTTGCTTCGCAGGTGTAACGACCAGTGTCTTGGACCTGAGCATCTTCAATCTGAAATAAAAAAAGAGTCAGCAACAACCTTCTCAACCCTTCTTTTTTGCCCTCCTTTTTTTTCTTCTTCTATTTTGAGACAAATTCTCACTCTGCAGCCTAGAATTTGCTAGGCCATTATTCAAGAAGGCCTGAGAATCACATCAGTTCTTCTTTCTCAGCCTCTCTAGTGCTGGGATTAATTACTGGCAGGAGCCACCACACTCAGCTTGAACTAGGGTTGTATATTAATGCACAGCATTGTCTCTTATTTTTATTTTTATTCTGTACATTTCTAAACATACAGATGTGGATAAAGTGTAAAAACGAATGCCCACCACCCAGATTCAACATTTACCAAAATTTAAAAATATTCATCTACACCACATTCTGTCTTAACCCATTTCATACCGGTTTTTAAACAATACAAAGATCTTCCAAATAAAATTTAGATAAAATAGCAAAAAAATAACAAAAACAATATCACTTCCTGATAAAGTCAT